AATGTAACGAAATATTTTCAATTTCAGTAAAAATTTGTCGAAAATCTTGTGTTCGTCTAAAAATTTGTCAATTGAAATTTAAACTTTTCTCCATCCACCACTCTTGCGTACTTCTGACATATCGAACGAGACTCCTTCTCCCTTTTGTATTCTTTTTCAGTTTAATTTTTAATATGTAAAAAAACGACTAGCGCCGATGCTGCGAGAGGGTTTTCAAGTGTTCTCGTTGCAAATCCTTTTTTTCAACGGTAATAATATACTTTCGCTCGACAGATTCGCGGTGCCGTTCAGGGACTCGACTATGCTCCCTGAATGTTTCGCTGGCTGATCGTTTCGACAGGCCGGCCGAACTTCGTTTGTCGGGACGAAAAAGGAACAGGAAGAGGGAAGAGAAAAAGGAGACCGTTAAGGAAATGGGTTTCATGCTCCGCGAAATTCGAAACTGGCCTCGGTAAAGGCGGCCGCTAGTTTCGTTTTGCTTTTCTTCCAATTTGGCTTATTATAGTTTTAATGGACTGTACGTTTCGCGTTGAGAGACTTGGGAATTGGAACATTTTTAATAATTAAGAACGTGTGAATCGTTTATCGCAAGAAAGATCGTACGATAATCGTAAACGACAGGTACGATGAAATAGATTCGTTTATTCGTGTCGTAAATGGATTTCGCGACATCGCCGGTTCGATAGAGTACTAATTATTGCTGAGTAGTGAAACGACGCCAATTATTATATGAATGATACCAAACGTGTCATAAATGTATAATGATTGCAAATCGCAATATGTTGCGAAACATGTGACGGATAATTATTGGTTGCTAACTAAATAATTCTAAACGTTTTGAACTAAAGAGACATAGAGTAGTTTGGAAAATAAGAATGTTCCAAATTTTTATTAATTGTTATTAATGAATATGTGTTTGTTCAATCACGTAACAAATACTGCATTGACAAATAAAATCAATTTCCTGTGGTATTTACTTGATCATAAAGTTTGTTAAAATTAAAACTTTTCAGTGATGTTTATTACACGAAGGATTAATTAAAATTCTATGTAAATATACACGCTTTTTATGAACATTCAAAATTTCAAAATCAATATTTCATCAATCAATTATTGTATACATATATATTACATATAAATTTTTTTATATACATATAGATTACGCCATGCAAGTCATACCATTAGTTTAATTAACATTCATATTAAAACATCACATTTTTACTCGAAATACAGATCACAGCTAATTGTATTGTTTCCCTTCCAAATTTAATAAATATCAATCTGAAACAATCATTTCAATATCAATCTTCATAACCATTATTCCAACAACAGATCAAATAAACCAGCAAAAATTACTTCCCCCCAGGGGAAAGAACGAAATGAAACATTCACACTTTGTTTTAAAAAATACTGAAATTGCCGCGCGAAATGGTCGCGAAAGCAATTGATGACTTTCAAGGTGCACTGAGAAATTATCCCTCATCTCTGACCTATCTTAGAATAAAACAAAATACAATAAAATATTCACATTTCGTTCTAACAAACATTTAGAAAATATTAAAACGCCACGAAGTAAATTGCAAGAAGAAACACTTGATGAGTTCAAGGCGTGTGTCTAAAAAGAAACGGTTGTGAAAGCAATTAATAACATTAAGGCGCATTCCCAACAGTGAAGTACGAAAAGATATTCACACCTTGTTCTAAAAAAAAAAATATTTAAACAGGGAAAGGGTACTTTCCTCCGAGGGAAGGAATTGATGACGTAAGAATTATTTCTCATCCGAAATCTTGAGATATAGTACAAAATAAACTACGATATTCGCGCGTCGTCTTGAAAAAATATTTGGAAAATATATAAAAATATCACGGGAGAAACGACAAGAAGGAACATCTGCGAAACAACTGATGACTTTACGACGTTACTCGGCGTATCACCGCACGAACCACGTTGCTAAATTTTATCGAGCGAACGGGAGCACGAGACGGCGTGTGAACGACGCCTTGAATAATCCTGTGGAAGTTCGAACTTCGAGAGTTCGTACGTTTCCCTCGGAGGCAAAAGGAGGCGAACAAAGGGAACGAACGAAAACGATGAAATTGTGGGTTCCTTCTTGTTGCTCGATGGAAGAAAGAGTCCCGCCACCACGAGAATCCTGGTCCGAGCCTCCGGCAACGAAGTCCTGTGGCTAAGACAAACCCGAAACTCGCCACGGTCTCTTCCCTCCAACTTCGAACTTTTCTTCCAAATCCTATGCAAACACGAAAGACGCAGCCAACTGGCATCGATTCCCATTAAACGACGCATTAACCGTGGCTAATTTCACGTGATCAGGGATAATGGTTGTTCTCTAAATTGGCGTTCCTCAAATATTTTACTTCCTTCCGTTAAGGAAATTCTTGAAAGATGTTCGTGTATATTAATTTACTTTTTCAACAATAAACTGAATAATTAGAAATGTCAGGAAGGTGATGAGACATTTTTGTATGAATTGCAAATATTCTTTATAATTATATTAAATATTTGTACATCTTTTTTTATCGTTCCTTCGTTTAAAATTTTTTAAAAGTATCTTTCAACGTTTCTAAAGTATAATTAGCGGGATAACATTTCCGAATGCAATAGAGCAAATACAAAAGCTTCGCGGACGAAGCTTCTAAACCCAAAACGTGACATTACGAGTATTGCTCGAACGGAGATCGTGCTCGTGCGCGAGATACGGGCACATAAAAGTATAGAAAAATATATATAGCTCTATCTGCGCGGCATTTGAAATTTCGTAGCATGAAATAAAAATAAGGGAAATGTTGAGAAATCGTGCAAACATTTGCATCTGTATAAAATTGCGAGCATATTTCCTCGTTGATAATATACACGGTAGGTACACAGTAGCTACGAGAAATATTTATACCACAGCCTTATCATCCAGCGAAGCATTTTCTTTATCAGATCGACTTTTATGGTATCAAATTTAGTCGCATAAAAATTTAACGTGCCTATTTGAAACAAATTAATAAGTATGTAAATGCCGTAATGAGCGGTGCCGTATTTCATACGACACGAGCAAGCCCAAAGCTATATACAGTTACCACGTACACACGGATCACCTTCTTCGGCTACCGAAAAGAGTTACAGAATCAAAAGTATCATTTGCATTACACTCTGGACGACAAATGCGAGAAAAGAGAAGCATGTTAAAATGAACGACCACGTATGGAAGATAAGGATCGGTCTTTGATCAAGCTGCTAATGATGAGACACGCGAAGGTTCGCCGTTGAACGCGTGGCGAACGCTTTCTTCCGCGTCCTGCTCGCCCTGTCCTTGAAAACTGTCCGCGTGGTGTGCGCGACGTGTCCATTGGCGTCGGTCGTTTCGTCGGCGACGACGTCGTCGTCGTCATCTCACGTGCGTGCACGCCGATGTGCGAAACCAACAGACGGGCCAACTTACGGATCCGCGCACAGTCTGCGTACACGCACACAGGCATCGCGCGTACGAAGAAACGCGGACGGGATACCTACTCCACCTGCAGCGCGTACGCGCGTTTATTATCTCGTATCGATGCGTGTGCATGTGCGGACGAAGCGTGAGGCAGACGCATCGGTGTGCGGAGAAAGGAGAAAGAAAGGAGGGTAGAGAAGGAAGAAAAGGGAGCGAGAGGAGCCGAGAGAGAAAGGGAGAGAGAGAGAGAGAGAGAGCAAGATCGCGAGAGCGGGGCGAGGAAAGGGTATGGAAGGTTGGATCGTTCGCTGCCGGTAGCAACGACCCTGGATGCATCGACTCCTGGGGTTGTCGGGTGGTAAGGGTGGTGGATAGAGCGAGAGGAACACGTCGGTAGGAACGATAGGAGCAACGGAGACGAGTCGACGCTAGGCAGCAGAGAGACTAGGGGAGTCACCCTTTGTCTCCTGTCTTTCTCTCGCCCCTTAACCAACCCCCTGTGTGTCCAGGATCCCTCTTCGTTCTTCTTCTCTCTTGCTCCCTCTTTTTTCAACCACCCTGTCGGTTCTCCCTCTCTCTCTTTCTCTCTCTCTTCCTCCCTGTCACACGCACAGAGACACACGTACAGACTCTCGCCAATCTGCGTTCCTCTCTGTCCCTCACCGGTGGTCTCCCTCTCTACCAGCTCTTCGGCTCTCCACGCTATTGATCCCGCAGCATCCACCGCGAAATAACGACGTACGCCCCTGCGTGCTTCTCTTTTCCCCCATTTTTCTGCACCTCTTCTTTCTTTCTGCGTTCGCGGCCCGTTCCACCGGCCAATCTCATCGAAAGAACGAAAGAGAGAATCGAGAAACGAGCATCGTGCGGTGCGTCGTGTCGCGTGGTCGACTCGACGCGACACGACGCCTCCCTCGGTGTGTCGCTTCTCTTTCTCGAATTTTCGCGCGTTACCGAGTTAAAGGTATTGCACGCAGGGAGGGAGTTTGCCAGCCGGACCGGGAACACGTTGAACTCGACACGGTTTCGAATCGTCTGCGAAAACGAGGGAAGTTCGGCACGTACGTGCGCTGCCTGGCTGGGTATTCCCGGTCGTCGACACGACCGCCGGTGTCCCCGGGGATCCACGCTCCATAACCATGCTTCTCCGGAAACTGTCCGCTATTGATTTCGGTTCGCAATTTCCTAGATCAGACGGCTGGTTTCACCGGCGAAATCTCGTGAAACGAGAGGCTGACGGCAAGATGGAGTCGAATCGATGCTGTCTGATGCTTTTTAGAGAATCGATATGTGCTTCTTGGGACAACGGGCTTGCCGATAACAAGCGGATTGCGGACGTTTATGCGCTGGAGCAAGTACGAACGTGCGGAGACACGCGAAAAAGAATTTATGTAGTACGCAAAAATGTCGAATATTTGTAACTTAATATTTAATGTGTTAAAAAGACGTTTTTTCATCTGCCTTTCGCAGATGAGACTAACATTTCGTTAAAAGCACAAAATAATTTAAGATGCTGGGAATTAATAAATTTGAAAGCGTCTTAATGGCAGTGTAAAAAAGTGTAATTGCAGTTAATTCGCGCGAGCCGACTTTATTTTTCTCCCCTGCACATTTAATGAAAATTACGCTTCTGACAAATGTTGCAGATTAACCGGTGTCCCGTGTGACGTTCAGCAATGTGTTTACACATTTCACGGAATATTTAATCACAGGAAACCTTTTTACTTCGTTTGAAGGTAAATCGGCCGATTTCGTACTTTTGTACGAGCAAATTTGAAATGAGAAAATCTTTATCAGAAATGTTGTTCCATAATCAAGAGTTGCGTCAAGTATACGAAGAAACGCTACAGATAATGACGACAAGATCACTAATTACTGGGCTTTAATTCGATAGTAAAGTTAGATTCTTTGCAAACGAAGCGGTAACTGTAGAGCAGTTGCAATTAGGTTTGATTGGATGATACTTTAAGTCATCTTCTGTTTCTACCAACGAGTGATTCTTTGAAAAGTAGGTAATAACAGATTCATCCGAGGAGGCGCACAATCTTGAATCTAACCACTCGAATGTTTAACCAGTGTACCTGACACAATTCTCCAACTTTATTAGATTTCGAAAAATTTGAGATCGAGGAAACATGACAGTTTGCCGTGACATTTTATATTTATCCACGAACGAATATTCAGAATTTTGACAATTTTGTCAAATATACATTTCCATTTTATTATGAAAGACACTTGAGGAAGAATCAATCATGAAGATTTTATTCATATATAAATAAGATTTGTACGAATCTTCATTTAGCTTTAGTCGATATTCAAATATCTTTTTCAATGTCTATCGTATGTATGTCAATAAAATTTTTAGAAACAATGTCCTATATTATATGAATGACAAATTCATATTTGTTAATTCAATTTCAATTAACTGTTTGGCTCATAAATGTAAATTTGTATGAAATTTTGTAAACCATCAGTTTTTGAATACACCGGAGAATGAAAAAGTATCTATTTAGTTCCACAAACAACATTAAACGTACAATTTTCGTAATATGGAACTGATTATTGGATTTTAAAGTTGTTTACCGCATATATCGCTCACATATACACCGTATGTATTTCATACGTGATAATTACAGAGTATAACTCCATTAAATGAGACGAAGTTTTAATTAGAGCCTGATCAAACAAACGTACAGATTGAATCTATTTATCTAAAACCTCTATTACACTAACTGCATGTTCTCCGTCGAGTGAATAGAATTTGAAATTATAAATATATAACTTGACTGTAAAACCTAGAACATGTTGAAGACTTCAGAAGGGGTAATGATTTCGTCACCTAAATAAATGTTTAAAAATTGAAACTGAAAATTATATTCTTGCATCTTAAAAGAAAGAGAAAGAAACAGATGCACAAAGAGGATATAAAATAAAGATGCACGAGTATAAAAGATTACAGGGTCTTCTAAATTTTTATAAGTCGAGAGTGTAATCTATTGCAGCACAATGTAAATAATAAAAAGATATCACTGTCAAACGCTCACATCGAGTCAGAAGACAGTCAGTAAAATATGACCCTCTCTTCTCACACCAACTTCGTTCCTCACTATTTCCCTCGAGTGGCCATAAATTTTCCCACGAAGAACTTTATAATCGCGGTACGTGAAATTTCGAAGTGAAATTAACCGAAGGGAAGGTGCATTCCATGGCCAATACCACGGATACCGGAAAAGTCGCTTCCGTCAAACAACGAGCGCCGATTCTCGCGAATTATTAAAGCCCCTTTCCCATAGACGCTTCCGCGTACCACGAATCACACCCTCGAAGCGACAAGCGGAACATGCATCTCTTTGTCGATGACTAGCGGTATAAATCAACCGGGACGCGTATCCTTTCCGCCGCTCGCGGCCGTAGCACTTTGTAAATAGTTCGGCGCGAGGAAACGCGATCGAGAGGCGAGGAATCCCGCGTCTCCACGTCCACCAGGCACGTCCGCGAGCTCATTATCCGCGGCCGATCGCCGATCGCCGCTGAATTCCCCGCAATATTTCTCGCGAGTTCACCTCGCGTCGACGATGATAATCGTTGGTAATTTCTTCTATTTTCTCTGTAGCTTATCAGCGAGGCCTGTCCGGTGAGACAATCTTTTTTCACGCGTATCGAACGTGGCGAAAATATTCGTGTGCTTATCGACGTCTCGTGCATGGGCATGTTATCAACTTGTATTGCGTGTGTATACGTACAACTTGACTGGCAGTGTCACAACATTCAACTACCATGTTATATTGGTAAAATTTTTTGCACGATTCTGAGCGTAAGTATATATGTATATGTATACCGCAGAAATGGCAAAAGTTGTACTTATTTGAGTACAACCAATTGTTCATTATGTTAGTAAAACTCTCTGTATTTAAGATTTATCATGTGCTTACAGTGGCTATGTATATGTTCTTTTTACTAAATATACGATTACAATAAATATCTTCCACGTAGATACAGTTTCAGATTGATTTGAAATTTTACCAATACAATCACGACATTCGTGTTTCGTTGCAATATCAACGAAATATCAAAATATTTTTCGTAACACACATAAAACTACCTACGTAAACATTTTCCAACAATAAATATTGCACCAGATATACATTAACGTAGTATTTTTTGTAACTACTGCAGAAGTGTCTCCCTTCGATCATCTGTCCCAGGGAAGACGAAAGTCAACCAACGTTCCACGAATCTTCTTGACAAGAGTCGAAGGGAGGAGAAAGAAGAACGATTTTCCGAAACACAAAAAGTCTCGCCGATTTTGTGATCTCGCGGGCCAGCATTTCGTCGCAGAGGAACGAGGAAACGGCGAAACAGCCGGAGAAATAAAAAAA